GGGTGGGGATCATTCAGACCGGGGCCAGTGGGAGGGAGGGAGGCACAAAGGCAGGGCACCCCGCTGCCGCTGGCCCACAAGAATTTTTTCTTGCCAGGGTCCAAGTTTAGACTGCTAGGTGGAGTAGGAAGGGCAGGAGCAGCCATCCTTTCCCATCTCCCTTCTGTGTTGAAACTTCAGAGCAGCCATTAGTGATTTATTAATTGTAAATGGGAGGATAGTACTTTTTTTTTTTCCCCCCAGAGGCAATTTTCTTGAATACTTCTATATTTGTTCCTGAATCAAACAAAAGAAAGCCAAGCCAAGGCTCAATGATTCTTATTGTGCAGTGATTTCCTAATTCCTTTTCTTATACTGGACAAAAGTGATAAGAGAAACCTATTCTTGAGAATTTTTTTATTGATTGTCACTGTGTTCTTCTGAAAGAAAACACCAAGCACCTACTAAAACAATGTCTCTTATGTGTTGCCAAGTAAAAGAGCAGGTTTGTTCAGTAATGTACGTATGCAAAAGCTTGAGGATTCTGTGATTATTTTTATAAATCTTTTTAATAGCTAAGAACATGGCTCAGAGCTTGTAAAAGCTGACTTCTCCAAGAACTTAGTCTTTTCATGAAGTGTTTAAAGAAATTCCAGTTATGCAAAACCTGAATGCAAATTATTACAGTCCAGTTCAACGAAGCTCTTTGGTACATGTTCCAATCCCTTCCAGAGCATGAAGTACATATCTCTGTACTTACTTAGGTGCTTAGAGATGGGTGTTACTGAGTTGAGACATAAAACAGAACCAGGTGAGACAAGAAGCAGTAAATGAAGCTGCCAAAACTATGGCAGAAAAGCATAATAAAAAGAAGACGGGTTGCTATTCCTTGCTTTCAAATTTAGAGGAATTTTACTGAAGGTGGGTTGGTCTTACAGTATACCTACAGCACCATACTCTGCCCTGGTGAGACCCCACTTGGAGCACTGGGTCCAGTTCTGGGCTCCCCAGTTCAAGAAAGATGAGGAACTCCTGGAGAGAGTCCAGAGGAGGGCAACCAGGACGAGGAGAGGAACGAA